CCTGAAATCTGGCTGTTGTCTCGCGGCCCCTGCAGTTTCTGGCTACAGGCTACTGTCTCTGCAGTCTCTGGCTTAAAGTGGTGTCACTGCGGTCTCTGGCTCAAGGCTGCTGCTTAGTCTCTGGCTTAGGGCTGCTGTCTCTGCTGCTCTCCAGTTTCTGCCTACAGGCTATTGTCTCTGCAGTCTCTAGCTTAAGGCTGCTTGCCCTGTAGTTTCTGCCTCAGTTTATGGCTACAGGCTACTTCAGTCTCTGGCTTAAGGCTGCTGTCCCTGCAGTCTCTGACGACTACAGGCTACTGTCTCTGCAGTCTCTGGCTTCAGGCCGCTGTCCCTGCAGTCTCTGGCTAAAGGCTACTGCTCCTGCAGTCTCTGGCTTGGGGCTGCTGTTTTTGCCTACAGACTAATGTCTCTGCAGTCTCTGGCTTAAGGCCGCTGTCCCTGAAATCTGGCTGTTTCTGGCTACAGGCTACTGTCTCTGCAGTCTCTGGCTTAAGGCTGCTGTCCCTGCAGTCTCTGGCTAAAGGCTACTGCCCAGTCTCTGGCTTAGGGCTGCTGTCTCTGCTGCCCTGCGTACCGGCTACTGTCTCTGCAGTCTCTCGCTTAAGGCCGTTGTCCCTGCAGTCTCTGGCTAAAGGCTACTGCCCCTGCAATCTCTGGCTTAAAGCTACTGTCCCTGCAGTCTCTCGCAGAAGGCCGCTGGTTTAAGGTTTACAATGTACTTGCAAATGCTGTAAGAGCAAATGAAAAGATTTGGTTTCGATGTTTGGAATGGAATTGCCGGCAAATGTACTTGCGAATGCTGCTCCTGGCTGCCAAGAGTTTCAGGAGGTGCCTTTTCCCAAGAGATTGCTGAATGTTAACCATGCTTGGTCGGCGGCGCCCGCTTTAGCATCTATGTCATGTGAAGTGAGTGGAGTCAGAGGAGCACTTCTCCTTCTCTTTTTTTCTTTCTCATTTTGCTTCGAATGACGACGTTTCGGGAACCCGAAGGGCGCGGCCAGCTTGAACAGCAATTGAAGGGAAACGATGTCTCGGAGCCCCCGGAAAGACTAGAAGATACCGACGGCATGACTACTAAGTACTCACCCAGTGCTGGCAGTCGTGCGTCGCTGACTCACTCGCATACTTGCATGTGCTGCAAGAGCAAGTGACAGTGACAGGGTTTGGGAGGTTTAGAATCTACTTGCAAATGCTGCAAGATTGAATGTGATTGGGTTGAGAGCATTAGAATGGACTTGCGCGTGCTGCAAACAGCAAATACATGGTTGGGCTTAAAAATCAGAATGCAACTGCATGTGCTGCATCAAGCTAGAAACTGCAGTGGTTATCGACAGAAGCTATAGTTTGCAGCGACCTGAAGCATCAAGTCAAAGGCTGCAGGAACTGCTCACTGCATGTTTAGGTGTGTTTCGGCTCTGGCTGTAGAAGGGGCCTGTGAGCCATGACGGAGCCACAGGTGCTGCGAACCGCTCACGATATTATTACGGGCATCTGAAGGAAACAAAAACAGTATATGAATTCATCACGCGGAGGTGCCCTCTTGGAGCACTTTCCATGCGGCGCGAGACCGCGTCACAGCCCAATTTCAACAGGCTTTCAGCAACAAACCAAACAAATAACCATCGTGAGCCACCTCCGAGGCTTATCTCGCGATGTGTGCAGCGACTAGCAGAGAGCTGCAACCGGCGTGGGCCTCGCCGCGACCGAAATCCAGGCCCTTGGAAGTCTTCAGCTCAGATTTCGCAGAAGCAAGCGCAGAAGAAGTGCCTGCAATACATGAGAAACGTTTGACCGTGGATCTCAGGCCCGAATGTGGGCGGCAAAGCACAAACCCAGGCCTTTGGTAGTTCTCGACTCAGATAAAGGAAAGACAAGCGTAGCGCAACACAACACATACACCAAGCACGGAAGAAGCGCCTGCAACAAATGAGAAACGCTTGGCCGTTGATCTCAGGCCGGACCGTGGGCGCGAAAGCCCAAACCCAGGCCTTTGGTAGTTCTCGGCTCAGGTGAAAGACAAACGTAGCACAACACACACACACACACATTCGTGAAGAGGCTCAGTCGTTTGTCTGAGGGGCAAGCGTCGCCTAGCAGGGTCCAGTACAGGCCGCCTGCACCGAGCTCAGTATATAGGCGAACACGAGCGCAGAACAAAGGACAGTCAGCATGTTTATGGGACGCGTGAGGTCCGTCTTGCGCGGCCTGAGCCGCGACCAGTTCCCCGTGTTTGGAACTCGATCGTTGATGGACACACTTGGCTAAGCAAAACATTTCCTCCGTTGAGGTGCAGCCACAGGCGTGCGTCCGGCCAGCCCAAAGCTCACCGCCAGATGCGTGCGTCCTCTCAGCCCAAAGCTCACCTGTCCACAACGACCGGTGAGGCTTTGTGTCCGAGACCACCACCGTATGCACCACCTGCCATGGACTTAGACAGCGGTGTGTATTTTCAGATAAACAAACATGAAATGCGTTAAACGACGCATGCCTTGCTCAGGCTCTCTTGCTCTTGAAAAGGAAGCTGCAGGCGTATCCGTCCACCGACCACAATGTGACTCGGCTTCTTAGATACACCACTCAGAATTCAGAAAAATAGTAGCTCGTGAGGTCCAGAGAAAGCAAAGCAGAACCGAGTATGCGGAGGCCTTCAAACTCGACTCTGTTCTGCGTAAACAAGACAAAAAAAGAAAACTGACCAAGCATCGACTTTTGGCAGGACACGCAGCCGTACGAGGTGGAAGGCAACTCAGAAGTCGTGACCTCGGATTCAGCTGCAGTCATATCCGTCCACAGACTACAATGTGGATAGGCTTGTCAGATACTAATCAGAATTCTGAAGAATAGTGGTGCTTCAGGACGAGAGGAACAGTTTCGAGGATGCCGAGGCCCCAAACAACAACAAAAGAAACCTGGTTAAGCGTTGACCCCTGTCAGGGACCACCTGACTTCGAGCTGGAAAGCGACTCAGAAGTCGTGACCTCGGATTCAGAAAATGAAGCTCCAGTTGCAGTCGTAGTGTGCCTGAATTCAGAAAAATAGTAGTGCTGCAGGACGAGGGAAACACTCTGGAGGATGCCAAGGCCTCAAACAACAACGAAAGAAAATTGGTCAAGCATCGACTTTTGGCAGGACACACAGCCGTACGAGGCTGAAAACGACTCAGAAGTCATGACCTCGGATTCAGCTGCAGTCATATCCGTCTACAGGCTACAATGTGCATCGGCTTGTCAGATACACTAATCAGAATTCTGAAGAATAGTGGCGCTTCAGGACGAGATGAACAGTTTCGAGGATGCCGAGGCCCCAAACAACAACAAAAGAAATCTGGTTAAGCGTTGACCCCTGTCAGGGACCACCTGACTTCGAACCGGAAAGCAACTCAGAAGTCGTGACCTCAGATTTAGAAAATGAAGTTGCAGTTGCAGTCGTAGTGTGCCTGAATTCTGAAAGATAGTAGCGCTGCAGGACGAGGGAAACACTCTGGAGGATGCCAAGGCCTCAAACAACAACGAAAGAAAATTGGTCAAGCGTCGACTTGTGGCAGGACACGCAGCCGTACGAGGAGGAAAACGACTCAGAAGTCGTGACCTCGGATTCAGCTGCAGTCATATCCGTCCACAGACTACAATGTGGATAGGCTTGTCAGATACTAATCAGAATTCTGAAGAATAGTGGTGCTTCAGGACGAGAGGAACAGTTTCGAGGATGCCGAGGCCCCGAACAACAACAAAAGAAACCTGGTTAAGCGTTGACCCCTGCCAGGGACCACCTGACTTCGAGCTGGAAAGCAACTCAGAAGTCGTGATATAAACGAAGCTCCAGTTGCAGTCGTAGTGTGCCTGAATTCAGAAAAATAGTAGTGCTGCAGGACGAGGGAAACACTCTGGAGGATGCCAGGGCCTCAAACAACAAAAAACAAAAACTAGTGAAGCATTGACCCTTGTCAGGGACCAGCTGACTACGAGGCGGAAAACGACTCAGAAGTCGTGACCTCGGATTCAGCTGCAGTCATATCCGTCTACCGGCTACAATGTGCATCGGCTTGTCAGATACACTAATCAGAACTCAGAAAAGTAGTAGTCCTATGCAAACTCTGTCAGGACGGCTCTGCTGCTGCTGGCGGAATAGTTGCGGCCGGAGACTCGAAATGAGTTTTCTGAGCGAGAAAGTCTTGCGTTCAAAGCTTATGCGCAAAGGTGCCCAACAAAACACCAGTCAACTTGTTCTGGCTGCGAGGGACCGCTGGAGCATATGGCATAAGCTGTCTCGCATAGCGCCCTGAACTCATCATTGACAGGAGGATGCGGCGAGTGCTCCAGGAGTCACCATGGAGGCTCATTTCTTTAATGGTGTCTTGTGGAGTACGATGCTGCTCGAGTTGAATGCGTTGACCCATAAGTCTCCTTGACCCTAAACCCTAAACCCGAAGCGCAAGCTCCCTCGTCAGCAAACTAGGCGAAACAGAGAGTATCACCTGCGCTGCCGGCGCTCGAAGAAGTGCCGCGGCTGTGTGAGGTTTAGGGTTAGGGTTTCGGGTTTAGGGCTAGGGTTTCGGATTTAGGGGTTTAAGGATTAAGGGTTTATGGTGTAGAGCTGAGGATTTAGGGTTTCCAGCTCCAGCCTTAGAGTTTCAGCTTGACAAAGCACAAGCTAAGTAAAGCCCTAAACCCTAAACCCTAAAACCTAAACCCTAAATGACTAGTGCGGAGTATCAAGGGACCCTGGGTTGCATACCGACCCTTAAACCCCTTAAGGCTCTATGAAACAAATACTAAATGCTAAACCCTACCTCAAGAAGGCCCGAAGATCCAAATCACCTCACCCAGGTGATGTGATGAGGGGGCTGGAAACACCTTGATGCGGCCAGCGCAAAAATGTTTGAGAAGCTCTTCTTTGGCTTGCTTCTCAATATATGAAGGGTATAGGGTTTATGGTTTAGAGTTTAGGGTTTAGGATTCCTGCAGTCATTTGATCTGAGATCTTTGGTTCTTATGTCCACCATGACGCCACCTTACGGGATTCAGATCTCCAGTGAGGAGGCCCTACCGGAGCACGCCTTGGCTGAGGAAACTTATTTCCTTGACGGCATTGTCTACGCGCATTTGCTTTACTGTCTGCTATAGGTTCTACTCTGGACCTTAAAACCTAAACCATAGAATAAAGATTAGGGTGATGAGCCTATGTTTCCTTTAGGCTAAAAGCGGCTGTGCTCACCGCGCTGCGTGGCTAGAGTCTAAGGCTAGAGTAGGTTTAGGGTGGACTTCAAACAAGGAGAGCCTCAGTCTAGGCTCTAATCCTTGGGTTTTGTGTTGTAGAGAATACCCGAAGGCTCGTAGGTAGCAGCTATTCTGAAAATATTTATATTAGGTAGTTTAAAGAGAAAAGAAAAACTCTATGCTAAATAAACCCTAAAGGTTCCGGGCTCATACATGTATACACATATACATACATATATATATATATATCCACAGAAGGGCCCTCTCTCTATATATATATATATATATATTGTCTGTATATGTTCATACACTTCCATAAATGTAAAAAAGACACCAACCTAAGCCCTGCATAAATCTGCCAGCCGCAGGCTGGAAAGAGCACCTCAAGTGGCAGCAGCACGAAGCCGAGCTCCGCCGCGAAGGGGAGGCTGGTTTAGGGAGGTTAGGGTTTGGGGTTTGGGGTTTGGGGTTTAGGGTTTAGGGTTTAGGGTTTAGGGTTTAGGGTTTAGGTGGGTTTAGGGGGGAGAGAGGGGGTTTGGGGGGTTCAGGGGGTTCATTTACGAGGTTTATAGGGGGTTTAGGGGGGCTTCTTGCTTGATCCCCAAGTGGTCCCTTGCTTGGGGGTCCTAGTTTAAGGTCGGGAATGCACTGCTTCGTAGCCCAGAAATCGTATCATAATAAGGGCACCCTTTTTGGGTTTAGTTACTTTACATGGGCCCCAGAACCAAAAGGAGGGGCAAAGGGTACTGCTGCGCTACCAAGACAGAGTATACTTACCCTGTGCCAGAACTCTGCTGTAGGTACGTCCCCCAAAAGCAAGGAGCTGCGAACGGGGGTCTAGGAAGTCTTAGACCCTATCCTGGCATTACGACTCGGACAAGTAAGTGTGATACTCCGTGACACAGTATTCTCTTTTTCGGAGGGGGGGGGGAGTGGGTGGGGAGCGGGTTTAGGATTTTGCGCCGGAAGTAGGAAAGTAAGGAGCGAGGTAAACTCTAGACTCTAAACCCTAAAGCTCCAAACCCTCAACCCTCAAACCCAAATCCTGAACCCGAGACACGAAAGCCTTGAAGAAACCCTCCGCGTAAGACCCTGAACCTTTATGCCCTTAAACCGTAAACTCGAGAATCCTTTCCCTAAACCCCAAGCACTTAAGCCCCTAAACCCTAAAACTCCAAAATCCTCTGCGGCTGCTCTGCATAAACCCCTAAAACCCCTGAACCAAAACCTCCTGAACCCCCCCTAAACCCTAATCCCTAAACCTCAAACCCTGAACCCTAAACCCTAAACCCTGAACCCTTATCCCCAAAAATGGCGCCCTGCCAACCAGGCCAAGGTGGCGGAGGCCTCAAAGAGGCCTACCGGGGCCAGTGTCAGGTGTGGCATCTAGGTTTTAAAAGGGGTTTAGGGTTTAGGGTTTAGGGCTTATTGGAGCCCTAAACCCTAAACCCTAAACCCTAAACCCTAAACCCTAAACCCTAAACCCTAAACCCCTAAACCCTAAATCCTCTGAGAAGCCCCACCTTGGCGTTTTGAGGCTGTCGAGCTCAGGGATTCTCAGGGCTTAATTTCATGAGATTTTACCTTGGACTCCCAGGGTTGTACCCTTCGGTTTTGGGGATTGTTTTTGCAAAGGGGGTTTAGGGTTTAGGGTTTAGGGTTTAGGGTTTAGGGTTTAGGGTTTAGGGTTTAGGGTTTAGGGTTTGGATGTAAGGGCCATATTAGGGAGCAACGCAGGCGAACATCCTCAGGGGTCCGAGTATGACTCCCTTGATAAGTATGGACCCTAAACCCAATAAGCGCTACTTGGAGGTTTATGTGCAACTTATCAATAGGGTTGTAAGTGCCCTAGGTAAGATTGCATCTTTACTTACCCTACGTAGAGCCCCACTCAGAGGTACCCCAACGGACTTCCAGGCATAGACTTATAGACCTTAAACCCTAAACCCTACACCCTACACCCTTAACCCTAAACCCTGCAACCCTAAACCCCAAACCCTAAACCCAAAACCCTAAACCATAAACCCTAAACCCTAAACCCTAAACCCCCTCGCAGGCTGCAGGAGTACAAGGATGCACAGCTCAAACACGTCCACACCGTGGTGAACAGCGGCATCAAGGCCCCTTTGGCCCCGTGTAGGGTTTAGGGTTTAGGGTTTAGGGTTTCGGGTTTTGGGTTTAGGGTTTAGGGTTTGGGGTTTGGGGTTTGGGGTTTAGGGTTTGGGGTTTGGGGTTTGGGGTTTGGGGTTTAGGGTTCCCAGCACCCTAAACACCCTTTGGCCCCAAAATCGTATCCCTTTAAACTCAGCTGTGCTTTTGCAGGCTTCTTTTTCGCAACATCCCACGCATCTGACCCCTCGCATGATGGCCCCTGAACCCTAAACCCTAAACCATGCAGTCCCTCAGAGTATCCCTTGAGAGGACAAGGACTTGGCACTTATGGGCAGTTGTTTCGCAGCGATGCTCTCGGAGGCCAGGGGGTTGTAGGGGCTTGGGGCCTAAGTCGTCAGGGTGTCTGGACTGGACTCGGGTTCTGGATTCATCTCAGGATTCATGGGAGGGTCTAGTGTTTACCCGGGCCATGAGTTCGCTACGTGGGCTTTAAAGTTTGAGTTCTCGGGCGTGGGGTGGAGGAGATTGAGGGTAGTCGGGTCTAGGCACTACACATTCCAGCTTGCTTACACCCCTAACCCCCATACACCTATACCCGAAACTAGTTTGGGGTTAGGGTTACGGTTGCACTTTGCAACGATTGGGTGTTGACCCATAGCCCGGTGCCTCCGGGGCATTTTGGGGCCTTGCGGGCCTTTTTGGGGCGGGGGTCCTCTAGCCCCCGGAACCATTTTTTGGGGCCTTTTTTGTTTGGGGGCCTTTTGGCTTCCCAGGGCCTCTGCTTCCTCCGTGGGCCTGCTGTGGGCGATTTTAATGATGGCACGTGCAACTCCTGTGTATCCTGGTCTTGAGGGTTTTGGGTTCAGGGCTCATAGTTTGGGATGTTCCCCCTTATAAAGTAGGGATTATCGTACCCCCTACTAGAAGCCCGATTAAGGAGCTGCTAGTATAAGGGGGAACATCCCAATTCCTACGAATTGCATAAGAACCCCCCCCCCCCCCCCCCCCCCCAAAAAAAAAAAAGAGGTTCTTCCTTATAAGGGTAGTATAGGGATTGAGTTTTTTCTCGGGGGTTCTGAAGCAAATAGTAGAGTCGGAGCAGGGTTCCTCTGACAGAGGGTTCGGAGGAAGCCCCTGGCTGCTTTCCTTGAGGCGACCACGAGCAAGGACATCAAATCCACAGCGACCGAGGTCGAGGAGCTTGTCTCTCACATGAGATTTAGGGTTTAGAGTTAAGGGTTTTCGGCTTTGTGGCCTGAATTTGGGTGAACTGTAGGAAGGGGTGGGTGGAGAGTGCAGGCAGACTTCAACCCCTAATCCCAAGCCCTACACCCTGTGGTATACTCTATTTGCCAGGACCTGCACAAGAAGCTGAAAGGCTTCTCAGATCAGTCTGCGCTGAAGGCCAGCGGTTTGGAAGGATGGGTAACTGCCTCCAGAGTTCAACCACACGGAGCCTTCCCGCAGCCCTAAACCCTAAACCCTAAACCCTAAATCCTAAACCCTAAACCCTAAACCCTAAACCCTAAACCCTTATAAACCCTAAACCCTAAACCCCTGGCCCGAGGCAAAGCGAGTCCTCAGCCGCATGACGGACGACGCCACCGCAGGCCTCCAGGCCTGGATCCGTAGTGTTTTTTTTTGCTTTTGGGTCCAGGGTTTAAGGTTTTGGGTTCCAAGATTTTTTGGTTATTTAGGGTCCAGGTCCAGGGTTTAAAGCTTGGGGTTTAGGGTTTAAAGTTCAGGTTTGCCTTTTCTTAATTTAGGGTTTAGGGTTCAAAGTTTAGGGTTTAGGGTGGGTGTGGGGGTGTGAGGGGGGGGGGGGTGGTAAGCTGTTTTTGCTCTCTTAGCCTTCCAGGCATGGAGTTGAGGAGCTTCTCTCGGGTTTGCGGGAGAAGACGCCCGACGATCCGAACCGCTAAACCCTAAACCCCTAAGCCCCAAAACCACCAACCCTAAAAGCCCTAAACCCTAAACCCTATAATTCAGCCCCAAACCCCAAACCCCAAACCCCAAACCCCAAACCCCAAACCCCAAACCCCAAACCCCAAACCCCAAACCCTAAACCCTAAACCCTAAACCCCAAGCCCTCATTAAACCGTAAGTTCTCAACCCTAAACCGATCTGGGGAGGCCTTCGCATTCAAGGCCTGGATCGACTTCAAGTTCTCCGAGAAGCAGGCGAAGCCTTGGGTCGGGCTCTGGGTGTGAATCGAGGGTTTAGGGTTTGGTCGGTCGGTCGGTTTAGGCGGTTTAGATTTATGCGGTTGAGTTAGGCTTAAAGCTATTTTTTGGGATGCAGGGCTCTTTAGTTTGGCTACCCTACATGGCAAGATTCGTTTCGCCGCCGTGTCAAGATGTGCGCCTAAACCCTAAACCCTAAACCCTAAACCCTAAACCCTAAACCCTAAACCCTAAACCCTACACCCTGTTGTAGGGAAGCTCTCCGACAGCTTATAAGCCATACAGTCAGGGAGGTCATACTCGGTCCCCAAAGGATGTGCCCTAAACCCTAAACCCTAAACCCTAAACCCTAAACCCTAAACCCTAAACCCTAAACCCTAAACCCTAAACCCTAACGTTCCCTCAATGTCCTTCTAAGAATGCCCTACGTAGTCTTCCCTCAGAGGAACCCTTTAAAAAAAAAATTGCAGCTAGGTAGGACCCTTGGGATCTTGCACATTCCACTCTGGCAGTTTAGGGGTGGGGGGGGGTCTTATTCACGAACATGATTTTTTTTGCGGGGTTCAAACAGGGTGCTCTGCACCATGACTTTAGTCTTCAGAGTTGTTAGGCAGCCAGGGATGGCGTGCGGCTTAACCGCTGAACACCAAACCACAAACTCTCAACCCTAAACTTTGCACCCTAAACCCTAAACCCGAATCTCTAAACCCTAAACCCGAATCTCTAAACCCTAAACCCTAAACCCTAAGTACCGTGAACCTCCAAGTACAGCCTTCCCAGTGCCCGTGCCCATGTCAGGAGCGCGAAACCGACACTGCCATCAAGGACAAACCGGTAGTGGGGAGGAAGCTTTTTCGGGTTCAGGGTTGAGGGTTTAGAGTTTAGGGTTTGGGGATTAAGGGTTTATAGGGTTAAGAGGGTTTTTAGGGTTTACAAGGTTATAGGATTTATCATTGTTTATAGCGTTTATAAGGTTTATTGGGTTTATTATTGTTTATAGGGTTTATAGGGTTTAGGCACTGGGGCTTAGGGTTCCGGGTTTGGGGTTTTGGGTTTTGGGGTTTAGGGCTTGGGTCCGAGCGTCGGGCTGCTCCTGGGCATGATTTGTTCGTGCTTATGAAGGGACCGACATCTAGGACCGCCCTAAGGCTCTTGGGCCCTCAAAACCCCAGGAATTGAGACCCCAGAGCCCTCCTTAGGAGGTACCAGTCCCTCTGTAGGAGGGTCATTGGAGCCTTAAGGCGGGAGTAGGCCCTTTTTTCCTTTTTTTTTGGGGGGTTGGGGTTCCCTTATAATCCCCCTTAAAATCAAGCAGGGTACCCGTTTTATTCCTTGGTTACTCCCGGGTCTAGTTATGAAGGGACCGACAAAGAGTCGACGTTTGTACTATAGGGGGCTTAAGAATTAGAAAAGGTTATGGGGGGGCTCTTGTACCATCTTTATACAAAGGAACATAGGGGTCTTAGTAGACTAGGGTGTTTGGGGGGCTCTTGTAATTTGATTTTATAGGGCAAAAAGAAAGCGCCCTGAAGTAAGCCTAAGCGTGCCCATGCCATAGAATTTGGAAAAGATGACGAGTCAAGGCTGCTGCCTTCCGCCCATCGGCTCCCAAAACCACAAAAACCCATCATCCCAAACCCTAAACCCTAAACTCTAAACCCTAAACCCTAAACCCTAAACCCTAAACCTTAAACCCTAAACCCATCATCCTAAACCCTAAACCCTAGACCCAGGGTTCAGGGTTGAGGACTTGAAGTTGCTAAGGTTTGGGCTAAAAAAAACCCGAGATGCTGGCGCTGAAGCTCTCTAGGCTTTTGGGTGTAAGGTTTAGGGTTTTAGGGTTTAGGGTTTAGGGTTTAGGGATCTCTGAAGTTTAGGGTGTAAACTCCCCAAGCTCTAAGGGGTTCGCAGGCGTCCAAGGAGAAGTTCGCCAGCTTCACCGCCAAGCAGGCGGCGGGCGCAAAGGCCGGCTTCCTTGTTCTTGTCCAAGGCTTGAAGGGTTTAGGGCTTAGGGTTTAGGCGTCCTTTTTTGTTCAAGGCCTTAAGGTTTTAGGGCTTAGGGATTAATTTTTGTTTGTTCAGGATCTGTTAGTGCGGAACCTTCAAGCTACTACCGAGGTTCATGCATCCAACTGAGATCCCCCAACAGCAACAGTACTTCTGCTAGTGTTATTGTTGTTTGTTTCGAGATTTGGACTCGCTGCTGCGGCTTCGTGGCATCTGCGAAGACAATTCCGCACCCAAACCAAGGGGTTGGGTCTTGGCAGGTTCGGGTTAAGACAAAGTTCCCGATAAGGACTGAAGGATTCGGGGTTGAGGGTACAGGCAAAAAGATCCCGAACCGAGCAAAAAACCCTCAGCTGTACACATCCAGCAGCGTGCGCAACTTAGCTGAGACGAGCCGATGGTACGAGGCACCTCCGAAACCCGAAACCCGAAACCCTAAACCCGAAACCCGAAACCCTAAACCCTAAACCCTAAACCCTAAACAGCCCCAGGCCTGAAAACCCGACCATTGCCAGGCTGTTCTGCAGAGAATGTGCGGATCCAACGCGCCCAGGTCGCACAAACCTGTATTGGTATTGCTCGGGGGGTTCAGGGGTTTAGGCGTTTAGGGGTTTAGGGGTTTAGGGGGTTAGAGCTTTAGGGCTTTAGGGCTTAAGGGCTTTAGGGGTTCAGGGGTTTCGGGGTTTAGGGGTTTAGGGGTTTAGGGGTTTAGGGGTTTAGGGGGTTTAGGGGGTTTAGGGGTTTAGGGTTGAGGGGGGGTGCTTCTACTTTTTCTAGCCCTTAGGCTCAAAATAGCCCAAAAGCCTTACATGAGAAGGCCTTTCGGCACCAAACCCCTAGAATAAGAGGCCTTAGAGCCTTAGGGTAGGTGTCCTTGGGGAGCGTTAAAGGGATGGATCCCGGGATGAAAGTACCTCAAAACGGGAATCCTTACTAGCAACGGGACCTTATGGTTTCACTTTGTGGAATTTTAAGCCACTAC